CGCTATTGTTACTAGTAACAATAGCGACGACCCTAGCTAGCGATGCAACGTGTTTTACCTCGAACTCAGGTTTCTTCTGTGCCGTCAACAAGTGGACACAATCGTAAACTTTTAAGTGAAAAAAAGGGAAAAGGCCAAAGAACACTTGGAAAAGGCTCGTCAAGAGACACGTAAGTTTTTAAGCATTTATTAGTCTGCTCATGTGTATTTTTAAATTTATCAATTAATAGGGTGGAAGAACCACCAGAAATTGCTGATAATGGGGTTGGTGGTAGTAGTATTATTGATAATAATTCACAAAAAACGCACTATGTCCAGATAAGTATTTCTTTATGTTTTGATAATATTACTAGCATCCATATTAATAAAATACTTTTAATATTAAATTTACAACAAAAAATAGATTTAAATAGTATCAAATATTTTTCCAAATCATCTATCATACATATTATAACATTTTTTTCAATATCAAGTTTAAAAATAACGCACTATGTCCAGATATTTGTCTATTTTCTTTGATAATATAGGCATTATACGTGTATTCGCGCTGCAACTACTCATCAGGTGACGTCATGCGCGGCGCGAACCAAAACTCGTCCGCGGGAGCATCCAGCCCTGCCTTCACCTGTTGCTTTTCTTCTGCTGCTCGGCCAGTTTTTTATCCCCACCCAACCTACCTCGACAGGGCCGGCTTTAGCGCGCTCGGTTAAACAGGACCCCATTTGAAATATTCATAAAATACCAAACCGTACAACCCAAGTAATTAAACGTTATATAATTCAAGTATTTTTAAGAAAGGGCAACGCTGCATTATTTTAAAAACTTAACATTAATTTAAATGTCTAATTTCGAATAGGTAGGATGCTTTACGTGTAGATGTATTCTTGGTTGCGTTTTTCTCGTTTTACGGAGGGCGGGTCAACACAGTACCTATAATATTATAATCATATTTTGTCGTAAATGCATTTCATTAGTATAATGCCTAGTTCTTTATATTCTTTTAGATATATCTTGGACTCTAAAATATCAAACAGTAATATGATACCTCGTAATAAGGAAGATAGGTACCCAGTAAACATTTGTGATTTCACGAAAAAGTCACGACGTGACATATCACAACTTGATATCCAATTGCTGGCACAGTGATTAAGTTTGTCGTTTTATGTCAAGCAGTGACACGCGCGTGATCTTTTTATGTCACGAAGTTTATATGAACTTGTATGCTTTAAAGCTTAATTTTGAAGAAAAAAATTAAATTTGTTTCCGTTTTATTTTTAATCTATAAATAATAATAAACTTCCAAAAAAGCAGTAGCATACCCAAATTTTAAATATCTATTTGGGATGTTCCAGGGCCGCCTATGGATTTAATTTAATTTACATTAAATTAAGGGCAAATTTGCCCACTACTAAAAACCTAAAAGGTTTTTATCAAATTCCCCCAAAAAATAAATATTTTTTTAAATAACTTTACCACCCTGTCACTCGAAAACGAAGCTTTAAAACATACATACTTTTCTTCTGATATTTTCAATTTCTATAGATCACTAAATTTACTTATAGGATACTTGATGCACCCTGTATAAAGGTAGTGTGCAAAACTTGTCTTATTATTATTATATAAACGTTGACTGTTAATATTTTAGCCCATAATTTTATTTCACCCAAGGCCGGAAGTATATTGAAGCAGTGATATACGATAAGAGGGTCGTCGCTATTGTTACTAGTAACAATAGCGACGACCCTAGCTAGCGATGCAACGTGTTTTAAAATACGTTGCATTGCTATTAACGATAGCGACGACGCTTTTTTCGTTTATCACAGCTCCAACATATTTTAAATATTCCCCTGCACTTTCGCTCGCGCATGCGCACTAGCTATGTCACGCAGTGATATCCCATTGAGTGCGTATTGCGCTTGAATGTCACGACTTGATATCCCATTGATTGTGTATTGTGGAAACATATGAATGCGCCAGTGATATCACGATGTCACGACGGGATTTAGAAGTGATTTCAATACGCAATCACAAATGTTTACTGGGTACTTAATGAATTTGGTGACCATCTGTTTCTCTACACAGAATACTGCACTATCTTTACCTACTATGTACGTTATTGCAGCAATATTTAAACCAGAATTGTCGAAAAGTTCAAAAATGTACTCTAGAGCGTAGTATCTTTGAACAGTCCAAAAGTTTGACATACATTTTTTTAATCTTACAAAAGGTTTTGATGCTCATCATCAGGGATGCAAGTTTTATAAAAACTATACACAAATATCATAAATACCATTGTTAACTTCCATTTATTGTTATTTTTTGTAAATTTATTTCATTCATTTTCAGCTTTATTTTGCCACTTTTTTCTATGCAATATATTAAACTCTGCTTTAGACAGTTATTAGGTACCTATTTATTACATTTTATTAGGTTTTACACGGTGTTTCAATGTGTAAAGTTTACACTGTAAACCTATCAATAAAACTTTTAATTTCAGAATTTCCTTTAACCTCCTCTTCTTCTTCTTTCACTCAACTGACAGTGACAGTATTTGTACATAACCTCTTCGGGTATTTTCTGACATAACCGAATGAAATCATTAACAAGACAACTTGACAACAGGGTAATTTTCAACCAATAGAAATCTTAGAATGTTGGTCACATGGCGAGGTTTGTGACGTCATAAAAATTTATATTTTTTGTAAATATTTTGAAAACGGTAAACTCAATTGAAATTCTGATTTTACAGAAATGTTTAATATTACAAAACGCCTTGAATAAAACCATAAAAAGTATAGGTCAGAAAAAATTTAACTACCCCATTGTAGTGTCTGTGCTTGGTTCAGAATTTGAGGACGCAATTATAAACATTCCCCGCAACGAATTTACACAACAATGCATTGCTACAGCCATGGAGCCTAAACAAAAATTCCGAACTGCACGTAAACAAGAATCTTCCTAAGGAAAGTAGGCGCTGGTGTACCGTTTATTCTGAAACAATTGACTAATTTGTACCGAAACGCTACCAAAAGAGCAGACGTCAGTACGCATCAACAATCAGAGCCCGTGGTGGTAAAAAAGGCTTAATTTGTGCAATTTAGAGGGCAGGTTTTGTCAATTTTCCCTATTAAGTTCGGGCTCATTGTGTAGACTCCATGGCTATAGCAATCGTGCATTTACCCAGTAAACATTTGTGATTGCGTATTGAAATCACTTCTAAATCCCGTCGTGACATCGTGATATCACTGGCGCATTCATATGTTTCCACAATACACAATCAATGGGATATCAAGTCGTGACATTCAAGCGCAATACGCACTCAATGGGATATCACTGCGTGACATAGCTAGTGCGCATGCGCGAGCGAAAGTGCAGGGGAATATTTAAAATATGTTGGAGCTGTGATAAACGAAAAAAGCGTCGTCGCTATCGTTAATAGCAATGCAACGTATTTTAAAACACGTTGCATCGCTAGCTAGGGTCGTCGCTATTGTTACTAGTAACAATAGCGACGACCCTCTTATCGTATATCACTGCTTCAATATACTTCCGGCCTTGGGTGAAATAAAATTATGGGCTAAAATATTAACAGTCAACGTTTATATAATAATAATAAGACAAGTTTTGCACACTACCTTTATACAGGGTGCATCAAGTATCCTATAAGTAAATTTAGTGATCTATAGAAATTGAAAATATCAGAAGAAAAGTATGTATGTTTTAAAGCTTCGTTTTCGAGTGACAGGGTGGTAAAGTTATTTAAAAAAATATTTATTTTTTGGGGGAATTTGATAAAAACCTTTTAGGTTTTTAGTAGTGGGCAAATTTGCCCTTAATTTAATGTAAATTAAATTAAATCCATAGGCGGCCCTGGAACATCCCAAATAGATATTTAAAATTTGGGTATGCTACTGCTTTTTTGGAAGTTTATTATTATTTATAGATTAAAAATAAAACGGAAACAAATTTAATTTTTTTCTTCAAAATTAAGCTTTAAAGCATACAAGTTCATATAAACTTCGTGACATAAAAAGATCACGCGCGTGTCACTGCTTGACATAAAACGACAAACTTAATCACTGTGCCAGCAATTGGATATCAAGTTGTGATATGTCACGTCGTGACTTTTTCGTGAAATCACAAATGTTTACTGGGTAATTAAGCTTAAGTGCAAGCATAACACAAATGATAAAAACCATTAGGTTTTTTTGTTGCCAATTTAAAAAATTAAAATAAGGAAAGTTGTTTTGGAAAACGCAAGCCATTGGAATGTGTTTCTTTAAATTTAAAGAAAATTTGTGGGATGCAAAATAATTAAAAAACTTTTCTGAAAAGCCTCCGCCATTTTGGATCCGGTATTTTGTAATTAGCAACAACCAAAAAAATATCAACTGAACAAGAAAAAGCATTCTGTTTTTGTCCACTTTTTTGATAACCTAGCCCATTGTGCTACATGGTGGAAATAGCCATACAACGTGATTTTATTTTTAAGAATATTTTCGTATGTTTAAAAAAAAGAATTCCACACAATTTTTTATTGGCGTTTCAGAAACAAAAGTTATGATAATAGTTTTTAATTTTAGGGATTGACTTTGATAAAATAAATATTATTAATTATAAATTAAATTTAATTTTAAAACCCTTTAAAAACCGAGCTTTTGCATGACTCGAAATTAATTAATTTTTTCACTTTTTTAGCTGTTGGAACAAACCAAAACACTGTAAACTTGGAATAAAACATGTTGGCAGCAATGAGGTTCTTATAAGATGCAACGTTGCCGAATTCATTTGTGGTATTAAGTGATTTCATGGTATATATGTAATTCTTGTTGTATTTTAAGGTAACATGCTTTTGAAAATTTAAATTTTTATAATTTTTGTCTATATTGACACAGTAGTAAAATTAAAACTTAAGTTTTTATAACATTTAATATTTAATTTAAACTTGACATAGATGTAAAATTATCAATATTTAGTTTATTAAGTTGGCACTTTTGTTTACGGCATTCAGCCATATTGACTTTTTCTACGTTGTGTATCAGAAGCATTTTCCGGTTTGTTCTGCGACTTTTCTAAAATTAGGAAAGAAATGGGTTCGTCCAGACATAGAAGCAGAGACAGAGAACGTGATCGCGATCGCGACCGCGATAGAGGCGACAGGGATCGCGAAAGGGACAGAGACCGCGACAGGCATAGGCGTAGAAGCAGAGATAGAGATCGTGATAGGCACCGGGACCGTGATCATCACAGGAGAGATCGCGAGAGAAGCAGGTCCCGCAGTAGAGAAAGAAGACGCGAAAAAACTCCTCCAGAACCCGATGGCGAAAAATTAATCGCAGATACTTTGGCGACCATAGCAGCAACAAGGAATTTTGCCAATCTTGTCTGTCAAAGAGAAGGGGATGGGAACTCAAATCATTCGACAGGTAACAGCCCTTAAAAATTTCTTTTGTTATATTATAAGTACCAAAAGACTGAACATTATTATCCAAGATAACAGATAAAACATCTACCTATTTAGGCTATAGGTTTGGTTTTCATCATAGAATAGTATATTCTGTAACAAGTTTGGAATACGGCATATTCCGCTCGCACACGAGCCAAAGGCGAGTTTGACGGTTTCAAGAGAGCGGAATATGCAACGTTTCCAGAAAATCAGGCCAATTCACTAACATAAGTCGTTAACGTTAGCCACCAAAATTAGTGGTTATCGTTATATTTATTCGGCCTGATTGGTCGGATCGGACGATAACCACTGATTCTAGTGGCTAACGACTCATGTTAGTGAATTGAATAAAAAAATAATTTCATTGGGAGAAAGTGAGGTTGGATCGATCTAATATTTGTTAGATATTAAACACAGACATGTCACCACCAGTGTTTAAAATAATTAACTCTGTAATACTTTAAGGAATATATCTCATTCCACATTGAAAAGTGATATTAGTATATATAGTCATATTCCGTAATAGGAGTAGAAAAATAAAATTTTAATATTTCTTTTTACTAATATCCGCAAAAAAATGTCAGTCAAACTATGCTGTTAATATTAAATTGTATGAAAAACAGAATAATAATAACTAGGAAAACAGAATAATAATAACTAGATCAAATTATTTGAACTAGTGATACCAGTTGTTAGCAAAATGTAAATCAGATAAATAATAAACAAATTGGGAATTGAGAATATTGGAACAGTTTACAGCCTGCAATTTTTCTTGCAGTAATTTTTCTTGAATGCAAGTTTTTTTGCGGACTACCATACACTTTGCAATTCCAATTGCAAATTAATTGATACAAACCAAACAAAAATATAAAGTAGAATTAAAATTAAACATAAAGTTTATTTTTTTAGGTGTCTCTTTTTTACTATTTTTTTATTCATTTGATTATGTTGGTACTGTATCAACCTACTTTGGTATTTTAATATTTAAAATTGATACTCCTGTTCAATGCCCTAATTATAATTGGACATTTTTATTTAAATGTTTGAATTATTATTATGCCAAAGATAACAGAAAATTCTAAACAAAAAGACATTTTAAAAACAAAACAACATTTTGATAAAATACCTCATTAATTTGTGCTGCATAAATGCACTAAATTAGTTTAGCTGGTGTCATTTGTATCTTTTTATGATATTTTTTAATTCAATTTACCTTAAAATGTCGCTCTCACGGAGTTTATATATAAGATCTTTTGATATTGAAACACAGTCAGCCAAAAAACACTTCACATCACATTTTATTTTATAAAGAGCATCAGCTACTGGTTTCAGTATTGATAACAATCCTTCAGCCATTTTTTTATACCCTAATTTTGTACTTTTGCAGTTTTATAGAAAATTTTTTGGAAGTTTGCAAATAATTTTAATTTAGATATACAAAAAGTATAAAAAATTAGTCTACATTGTAAACCAATTTAATGTTACTTTCTTTGAATGGATATATTCAGTAAATCTTTTTTTTACTTTCGCCTTTCCTCTAAAAACTTAAGTTTTGTAAGAGTCAAACGTTTTTTTTTAAATTTTATCCTTATTGCAGTACCTACTTAATTTTTTATTTAAATCATGATTTAAAAAAAATCAATTGATTTAAATCGCGATATAAATCATTTAATTTAAATCGTGATTTAAAAACAGCAACCCTGGTAATAATATGGAGAGAACAGTAACTATTAAATTAAAATTACATTATTTGGGTTTTCTTCTATCAAGTGAAATTTTCTTATTCATAGTTACTACTAGTAAAATCTCATTACACACTATTATTTGGGTGTAAGTTTCTTGAAAACAACTATACTTAATAATTATAATTAATTATTTTTTTTTTATTAGGAAGCCAAGATGATGAAAGAAAGAGAAAGAAAAGATCCAGATGGGGTGGAAGTGAGCATGAGAAGATTTTCATTCCTGGAATGCCTACAATTTTACCCCCCAACCTGGATAAGGACCAGGAGCAAGCATATTTACGTAAGTCAATTTTCATTATTATTTTAAATGTTTTGATGAAGTGTTTTGTAATTATTTTTTGTTAGTTGGTAAGTTATACTAGGTTTAAAGTAGTATGTTATTTAAATAAAGTAAAAGTTGAACAGCATTACCAATTAAATTGGTTACAAAGTTTCAACAAACTTGTAAGTATAAGCATAAACACATATACTGGATAAGTATAATAATATTGAATAATAACATCATTTGTTTGCAGAATTGGAGATAATAATTAACAATTTATTTTAGCCTTGATTTGAATCAATTTGTTTTGCATATATTGAAGAAAATTGAATTATTATTTTTTCAAAACAAGTACTTAAGTATTCTGAAAATTTTTCAAATAATGTATATTGGTGTAATTAGGTATTTTTTAAGTGGATAAAATAAATCTAACTGTTGGGCTTTTGCCCTCTTCTAACCCGTTTTATTACAGTTCAGCTGCAGATTGAGGAAGTCAGTAGAAAACTCCGTTCCGGGGACCTGGGTATCTCACCGATTCCAGAAGAAAGGTTCGATCTTTACAAATTATTCTGTCCCCACGTCCACCACCACCCAACAATGATCTCTCATCAGCTGTGTGGTTTGGATACGAAAATAAACAGTCACTATGTTTCTTTTTATTTATTAAAAAAAATATATTTATATAGGGAGAGTCAGATATGTTTCACAAAATAGTATTTTTTAAACATAAAGATTATCCAGAAAATATGCAATAACTAATAACAGATCCCTTGGCTCAAAATAAATTGATTAACACACCTTTATAAAGTTACTTAGCTACAGGATTTTAAGGTCAGTGCATTATTTCTAATAATTTTAAAACGCCATGAAATTTTGACCATTTTTGATTTTTTATAAAAAAAAATAAACAAAACAATTTATGGCAAGGGCAATTGTCGCCATCTAGAGTGTCTTAAAGATTATATGATACTAGCATTTGAACATGGACCAAAAACTTCCTGACACAAGAAAAATTAGAAATTTCTATTAGAAATCATCGTTTGACAGCTTAGCTGCACGGTTTAGTTTATAGTACTGTTAACTTTCGGAAAGTACTGTATTTTGAATTTAATAAGCACGACAAAGTAAACCACAGCGTCTCTGTCGCAACTATTTCCGGGGAATACCCTTTTCTGAAAAAAATAACCGGTTTTTTTCAAAAATGACTTCATTAATAAAAATATGTTAATAACCAATTTTTGTTTTAAATGTTTTAAAATTCTTGCTAGATGAATATTAGAAAAATAATATTTACAAAAAAAACTTTTTTTTAACAATTATTTATACCTTTTAGGCCTACAATTGCAATAACAATTTTATAAAATGTATTCTGCCTTCTTATTTTTCGTTTTGAAACAGGAAAATAAGAAGGCAGTAGTAGAGTACATTTTTACTGCAATGGTAGGCCTAAAAGGTATAAATAATTAAAATTGTTTGAATATGTTTGCATATATTATTTTTTGAATATCATCAGGGAGAGAAAGCATTTTACAACAAAAAAAATCATCTAATTATTGCGAATGATTCTTGAGTTATCCATTTTTCTTTTAATTGTGAAATTGTTAGTTACTGAAAATAATAAAAACATTGCAGAATTTCGAAAAATGATTGAAAGTTTTTTGTTTAGTAATTATATACACATTTTTACAATTATTGTAACTTCCAAAAATCTAATCAAAATTAATCAACACATTTGACGTGATTTGACTCATAACTAACTTTGTTTGGAAGAGTTCTAGTATCTAGTATCATATATACTATTATAATGAAAGTGCGTGTACTAGGCTTAAAAAACATAAAACTCTCAAATTAATTTTGCTGATGCAGTAAAAAAATAAAGGTAAAAATGTATGGCTAACCTTATTTTGGCTTGCAGGTTAGGTAAGTTGTGTTGCTTTCTCCTATTTTGAGCCAAGGGTGATTCTTTTTATTACATACTGAAATGATTAAATAAGGGTTTTATTTGCATTTCCAACAATGTAATTGTTATTTTAATAAGGGATAACAAGTGAGGAGAGTCCAGTCAAAACCAAATTTGTCCCTCATCAGATTTTTTATCAGAGCCAAAAGACTGTTTTCAAATTGGTCTCCTTAGCACGCCTGAATAATCCATCGTGAACAAAATACTTAAAAAATCGACACGAGTTGTTTGTTTCTGATTAGTCCTACACTTACTCCGGACTTTAAAAAAGTAGTTTATGTTGACTTTACCTCGACGTATTTGATATTAATTTATTTCTTTTGATTAAATTATATTTGCTTCAGTTTTAAAGGCAAGTACATCACATGAATTAGTGTTTTCATCCATTAGAGTATGCAAAATAAAACAAAATTCTATTTTAACTTTACATACACTTTGACAAAATTTAGAATTTACGAAATTCAAAATCAAGAATTAAAAGAAATTTACAATTGCCAAATAGGTACAAAATAAAAGTACAAAACAGTACATGAATTTAAAAAAAGTTCAAAAGTTTAAAACGAAAAATGTGTTAGTAAATCATTTAAATTAATAATTAATTAATTGACTTTGTTGGTTGGACATGTTTTCCTCTGATATGGCCATCAGAATAGTATTTTTTTGTTTTGGACATACCTATTGTTTTTCGCGACACATTTTAAATGGGAAATATTGGTCTTTGATCATTTTTAAGGTGGCAAATATCACCCATTACAACATCCAGTGCTTACTTAAATTTTCGGGAGTGGAAATTTGGTTTTGACCGGATGCTCCTCAAGTATAAAATGACAACTATGTATACTTTAAACAAAAGCATGCTTAGAATTTTTATACTTTTAACACCAAAACTAAATTCATTTTTTCTGGATATATCGGGAACGGCAAATACTTAACAGAAATGTTAAAAATAAAATGCTTTTAATAATTAACCCATTTATATATTAAATCCTTAAAATTGTCAGACACATCTGGTTTTATAAGGAGTTTTTATAAGTATGTTTCAGTTATATTAGTTTCTAATTTTATTATATTGCATACAGTGTGCACCAAGTATTCTTTTATTTATCTACAAGGTTGGTTATATCAAAAACATAATGCGTAATTATACAAGCATATTAAAAGCTTAAAAAATTGAAAAAAAAAAACAGCTATAAGAACCAAAAATCGATATTTCTGCGAATTTTTTAAAAAAGTAAGCATTTATCTACATTTTCAACCAATTTCTTTTCTACTATACTTTGAGTTACCATCAGCATATTTCCTTTTAATAATGATGTATTAAACTTACTACATAAGTTATGGCCATATATAAAAACTTCCTATATGTGGCTGCCATAACTTATGTAGTAAGTTTGATACATTGTTGGATTCCTCAATTTTTTTTCTATCCAACCAAACTCCGGCTACTCTACTACAACTAGCGGCTATAGAAAAAACAAAATCTAGAAGGCAATGTAAATAAATGTGAAACTTTTTCAAAATTCAGGAATACCAAAAAATATTTGGTGCACCTTGTATATATTTTTAAAGTAACTTATTATTAATTTAATTGTTTGTAAAAAATCTTTTAAAGAAAATAACATTGGTTTTTTCAATAAATATATTTACTAATACTAACATTTATTTTTTTATAGATATTTTGATATTTTGGACAAACTGAAATGCTTATAAAAATTACCTCATCTGCAGATTCTATAGATGTTAATCATATTTCTGTTTTAGATTAATGCAATTCATTATTAATTTTTTTATTAAAACTAATTTAATTTCAGCTGTTAACGTGATAATTAAATTAATCAAATTTTATTGCAGCAATTAATTACAATTCTCTTTAGGGACCTTATAGTTAAAAATCCATGCACTTATATTAAGACAGTAAAAGCGTATGTTGACCCAATACTTTTATACTGGTTGAAATTTTATATTTTTAATCAAAAGAGATAAATTAAATTGATCCGACATGGCCCGTCATCTTGAAAAAATTATCGCACAGAAGCCAATAAAGTTTTAAGAGATACATTTTTTATAAAACTTATTTTGCTCACCAATGCGTTGTTGCATAAATATATGCAAAAAACGCAACAACTTTTTTGAAAATTGGTTTTCTATCTTTTTACCTCTTGCAATGTTTTTTTTTTAGAAAATTTTGTAGCTAAAAATTTCCTATAAATTGAATTAATTAAATTGGTCTAGTCACTGGACTTTGTTTCGCGGGATTGGCGAACGCAATATCACGCAGCTTGTTTTTTATTTAATAGGCAACAATGCATCAACAAAAAGTTTAAATACATATTAAATTGCGCTTTTAATGGACAAAAATATGTTTTTCTACTCCCACCTTTAAAACGCCCTTTATCGTACATGTTTCCATGACACTAAGTGACCTTTTAAATACACATTGACAAGTTGTGGCTTTATGGCGCTTTAGTCACGGGCTGAAGTTAGTTTTAGGTTAGTTGACAGTTGTCAAATGTCATACAATTGTTAAAATAAAGTGCCTTTCTTGTAAAATAATACTAAATGTGAAAATTATTTTATTATCTCAATACAAAAATACAAAAGTAATAAATAGTTTCTCAACGCCAATATTTGAAAAGTTTATATGAACATTGTACTGACCTTTTAATTTCGCCGGCAGTAAACTAGAACTTAAATTCGGACACGGACTCCACTGTAAAGTGCTCATAAAACATTTTTTTTTCTTTCACTGTGAAAAACTGTCAATTTTCAAGAAATACATTTCGATTTATAACCTTTATAATCTGTGTTTATAAAATAAAAAATTTGACGGTGACACACAGATTTCCCTATTGTTTCATAGATGGTGCTCTATATAAATTTTTGATTTAAATCATTTTAAGATAGTAATAAGTATTTGTCGTAGAAAAAGTATAGTATGCACCACTATAGTATGCACCTCGCAAGCTCGCTCGTGCCTAAATTAAATTCGTGTATAAAATGGCTTTTATCAAACTTGATAAATAATATACTATTATCTACTCATATTGCATAATTTTGGGTTCTTTCAGTGAATATTTATAAACATTATAAATTCCCTGCCTAACAACGGGAATAATAAACTCATTATTCACGTTGTTAGGCATCAGTAATTGACCAATTTCAATATTCACTGTGATTTGAATCAATTTGACGGATGTCAGATTTTATTTAATTATTTTTGAAAATCATTTAATTATCTACTATTACTAGTATTACACTTGAGATTATGCGCATTATCTTGTAATAATATACTATAAATTTGTTACCAAGGCCGTAAAGGGTTAAAATCTTATTTTACTAGATACGTCGAAATGTGGTAAATGGTCATTTTATAGGAAATTAATGAACTACAAAATTTCAAGAGAAACTGTTTGTTACAAAAATAGCGCAAAAGGGGTAAAAAAGGAGAAAACCATTTTTCTAATAAATGGTTGAGGTTTTTTAAATATATTTAAGCAACAGCGCATCAGAGAGAAAAATAATTTTTATAAAAAATAAAGCTCTAAATTACGAGCATTTTAAGAGTCTGCACATGTGCGACTAACGGTTCATAAGTTATTTAAAAAAAACGTGTGTTTTTTTAAAGCTTAATTTTCATGTATCTGTTTGTCCGTCAGTCCGATCATCCGGGAGCGCTCTTCCAATTATAATTCGAAAATTATGACATTTTATCGGTCCGTCAAGTTTCAACTTCGTACGTCTGACAGAGTAAGGTTAAATAATTTTAACTCATCCGTCACTACACATCTGTTTTTGACGCCTAACGTTATTTTAAGATAATTTATTTTCAAATATTTTTATATTTTTTCAATAAGATTGTAAAACGGAAATATTACGTTCGTTATGTGAATAATGTTTTACTGTTAAGTTTTTATTTAATAAGAATAACAGAAAAAAAAAGTACAAACAAAATAAAATTAAAACTAGAACTAAAAGGACCTGCTTTTTTAAAACTATACATTTTAATGTATATTGGGGCTAGTATATTCTTTTTATAAGGTATATTTACCTACCTTTAAATTTATTAGACAGCTAACTGTTAAAGTTACAATTGTTGACATAATTGTAACTATGACAATTAAGCATTAGGTAAATTTAGTAAGTGAATATACTGACACTTAATTTCTATTTGTCGCAAAATCAATCCGTTAAACGTCATTAAAAAACGTATGCATGAAAATTAGAACATTTCTTATCGGACGAGTTTATTGAAAAACTGACATACGGATGACGGACAAACGGATACATGAAAATTAAGCTTAAGTTGGCGTGGCCTAGCGTCGCGTTAATGTTTTTTTTTATCAAAAAAATTAAATTCCAACCGGTATAAAAGTATTGGGTTCCCTATATAAAATCTTTTACTGGCCTATATTAGAAACGTAATATAATTCTATGGATAGATTCATGATTATTTAGTTTAACCGACAATTCGCCACCGTGTAAAATAAGTTGAGCATAGATAACCCGATAAGTTGTATTTTTATCGCCAAATATGTTTATGTTCGACTTATGAGTACAACGGTGGAAAATTTTGTTGGTTGGTTAAAATGTCGTGTCTTTTTCTCAGATCTCCATCGCCGGAACCGATTTACAGCAGCGATGGCAAACGGTTAAACACGAGGGAGTTTAGGACCAGAAAACGACTCGAAGAAGACAGACACATGCTGGTGCTCAGGATGCAAAGCATTAATCCGGAGTTTAAACCTCCCATGGACTATAAGTAAGAAACATATTTGTTTGGTATTATGTTGATTATTTATATAAAATTTGTTTTAGGCCACCAGTAATAAGAGTGAGCGATAAAGTGATGATTCCGCAAGAAGAGCATCCAGAAATTAACTTTGTTGGTTTACTGATTGGACCAAGAGGAAACACTTTAAAAAGTAACTAAAACGACATAATTAAACATACTGCAATTATAAATTTTTTAATTTTTAGCAATGGAGAAAGACACAGGCGCAAAAATAATAATTCGCGGTAAAGGAAGTGTTAAAGAGGGAAAAGTTGGACGAAAAGATGGACAACCTTTACCTGGAGAGGACGAACCTCTGCACGCCTATATTACCGCTACGAATCCCGAGTGTGTGAAAAAAGCCGTGGAAAGGGTAGGTTTTTAAGTTAAATTAATAAATAAAAATCCAATTATATTTATTTTTTAACAGATTAAAGAAGTTATCAGGCAAGGCGTGGAGGTACCGGAAAACCAAAACGACTTGAGAAGAATGCAGCTGCGCGAGTTGGCGCAGCTGAATGGAACGTTAAGAGAGAATGACGGCTTGAGATGTAATAACTGTGGCGCCACCGATCACAAGTCTTGGCTGGTAAGTTTTTAAATTATTTAAATTAATTTTCTTAATTTCGGAATAATACATTTATACTGGGTGGCCAATTTCTAGAAAAAAGGAAAAGGACATTTTCAGGGATTTATTACTGATTTAATTTGTCTACCTTTTACCAACTAAATTCATTTCAACACTTGCCATGATAAATTTAGAATTATACATTTTCCAACTTTAAATTATCATTCACCACTGCATTGTCATAGTCTGAATCACAATCATACAAGTTGGACTAATAATTTCTCAGGTTGTTGTTAAAATAAAACTGTGCGACAAAATTTAACCAGATTTTTGTCCAGAAATTAGACTGTTTGTTAATAATATTGTTTTTTTGTGTTTTTCAAACAATTTTTGAAAACGCTACCCCGTGAAGGTGGATCATGACGTCACAATGTTATAAAAGATTTGTCTAGGTTATATTCTTTAAAGTTTAAAGTATTTAAATTGTTTGGAAATAGGAAAAAAGTACATACTAGAGGTGCATTTATTAAATATTAAAAATAATTTTATAAACTTTATACTAAAATCCGCTATTAATTGTTTAATAACATGTAATAGTATATTAAATGTCATAGGACGTCATTTTGTCGACAAAAGGTCTTATGACATGAGTTATTTATGCTGTTTTATCCATTTTGCAAAAATTCTATAAAAAAAGTAATTTTATACCTTATATTTAATTTGGACGAATTTTACTTTAGATTGTCATTGGTTTGAAGGGTTAATGTCAAAATCGATTCGCCATGGCGTCCTTAATTTACTTATTTACAATAAGCAGTTGTTAATGTTAAATAAGAAAAAAAGGATTTTCTTTGCTGTTAAACAAAATTTATTGCCAGAAAAGTCTCGTAAGTACTAGAAAAATCATAAAAATATTGTAACCAATATGCAAAATAATATTTTACTATGCTCTTTAAAGTAGCCAACCTATAAAATCAAAATTTTGGGTGGGGTAAAGTACCTCATTACAGTACCAAAAGCGCTTACAATGAAGTCACTATGAACGCAAAATAGATAAAAATATTATAACTTAAATAATTTGGTTATGTTCGAGTTTTTTTAAATTTTACATATACTTCATTCGTAAAACTCGACACGCCTATTATACCTACCAATATAACATTTATTTCACATCGCCGAAAGATTTTATCGATTTTCAAAGTAATTTTTAAGGAAAAATTAATAGCAAAATTCGGTTTTTGTAACGGTATGGTTGTTTTTAGTGACTATTTCCCTCGTCTGATTTTCCACCAATCAAAAATGCGCAATTTTGAATTACAAATGGTTTCTAGGTGGAAAACTGTATGACAGCACCTGTCAGCAATTTTTTCGAGTTTACCCTCGGCAAAACTTGACAGCTGTTGTCACCAAAAATTGCAATTTATATTTAAATTGTACCATAAATAATTAAGTTTGTAGTATTTTCTGATTAAATAAATTACCTATTTTTCAGTTTTCAAATTAATACCTACATTAGGGTGTCCCTTATTTTTATTTTTTTTACGCATACCCTCTAATTATATTTATGACTTGTTTATATACTCCCAGTAAAAATTTCAGCTCATTCTATAAACGGGAACCCGTGCCGACTTGCATCTGAACCCTCCGTTAGCCAACCTTAGGCGCGCGCGGTATTTTGTAACACGGAACACTTTAAAAAGAAGATATACTTCATGACTGTATTTTTCTAATGATTTTATTAAATATGATTACTAATTAATATTATTGCATTTGTTTCACTAATTTATTTATTTATTTTTTATTTATTTTTATTTTATTTATTTATTTATTTACACTATAGTATAGCTGGCAAAACAGTTCTTCAGAGTTGATTTTATCCCTTAAATATATTAATATACTAATTGGTATTGCTAAAATATACTGTTATATGAAATTTCAGCTCTTCAGAGTTGATTTTATCCCTTAAATATATTAATATACTAATTAGTATTGCTAAAATATACTGTTATATGAAATTTCAGCTTTTTATAATCATTTCTTTTCTTGATGTCCTCCCAAAAATATTTCAGACAGTTCAATAAGTTTTCGGTAGTCATCTCTCACAATAGACTCTTTTAGTTATTTAGAGTAAAACCCATTAAGTTTATCAATTTCAGTTTATTCAACAGACCCCTCCGGGTAACTAGCCACTCCCTGTGAAAATATACATTTTTATCAAAGTATACACATAAATAAAACTATATTTTAACATTTGTCAATAATTTATAATATAAGGGTCACATAATAACAAACACAAAATGACTTCGCGACCAACCGTGTTACAAAATACCGCGCGCCTAACGTTGGCTAACGGATGGTTCAGATGCAAGTCGGCACGGGTTCCCGTTTATAGAATGAGCTGAAATTTTTACTGGGAGTATATAAACACGTTATAAATATAATTAGAGGGTATGCGTAAAAAAAATAAAAATGAGGGACACCCTAACCTACATATTTACTGTCCGTTCAGGCTAAGTTGAGCGGTCTAAGGAATGTCACCCCGCCCATCATCTCTATGTTCAGGCACAATTAAATACATGTTTTTCGGTAGCCGCTCTGTACGAACAAACGGCAAGCCGCGGCACTGATAAATCATCTTCTTGTTACCGAAATCTCGCGACGATTCGATGTTTAATTCAATTAACGGCCACATGATCCCCCACCAAAGCGCTCAACTTAGCCTGAACGGACTGTATTATGTATGCATATCTATCTACATATACAGTGTTGGCCATAATTTTTGCCACCACTGTAAAAAAAATCTAACTCTAAAACGCCTTTATTATTCTTTATGAAATTTTGGATAAAAATACTTCAACTTATATCTCAGTTTACGTGTTTGAGGGTTTTTCGAGAAAATATTTATAAAAGTCCTTTAATTAATTTAATAATGAAAAAACGTTCGAAAAATAACTTTTAGGGTAACTTTTTTTAAGTAAATAAAAAATATGCTGTTAAAGACCGTATTTTTGTTAGTTTACCCTGAAAATTTTGTACAAATCAAATGAACAGCAACGAAGATACAGAGATTCAAAGTCATCAAAAATGACCACTTTTCAGCAAAATAATCAAAAAGGGACCATTTTTACCGACTTTGAAGCGCTGTATCTTCGTTACTGTTCGTTTAATTTGTACAAAATTTTCAGGGTATACCTACTAACAAAAATATGGTCTTTAACAGCATATTTTTTATTTACTTAAAAAAAATTACCCTAAGTTATTTTTCGAACGTTTTTTCATTATTAAATAAAAGGGCTTTATAAATATTTTCTCGAAAAATCCTCGAACACGTAAACTGAGATATAAGTTGAAGTATTTTTATCCAAAATTTCATAAAGAATAATAAAGGCGTTTTAGAGTTAGATTTTTTTTACAGTGGTTCCAAATAGGGATAGAACGATACCGATATTGATATCGGTATATCGGCATATCGGCAATTGTTTCCGATTATCGGTATCGTATCGTATCGGCAAAATAATTGCCGATATATCGGCAAAAAAAATGCGCTTTTCACTCTTCAGTGCATAAATGAAATACTGTCGTAGGGAAATGTGTATAGTTTTTAAGAAATACATTTTCGCCATTAACTGGAATTTAATGGATTTTAAACAATACTTAGTTTTTATTTGCAGAAATGCGTTAAAACAAAACAAACGAATTCGATAAAAATAAAACCTATAAATTCTCAATCCCTACCACAGTGGGGCCTCCCAGAAATCCGAAATGTCACTCACTACCAATCACAAACGTTTCCTCGCAACGGAATTAAAACGGGACTTTGCTTCGGTCGTGTATAAATAGATGGCATTATGTTTGCCGATACGATATATCGGTATATCGGCACGTAAATATCGGTATCGGCCGATATATCGTATCGGCAAAAAAAAGTGATATCGTTCTATCCCTAGTTCCAAAAATTATGTCCAATACTGTATAATCATTAGACTGGGCCAAAAAAATCAACTATTTTTTTTAAAGTATATCGAAAATATGGTTTGGGGTGACAAAAAAAAATATTGTGAAAGTTTGAGTCCATAATATTAATATTAAGAGGTCTATCATCGCAATTTTATTTTTTTTTTCTCAGCAAGTTTTAGGCTCAGAACTTTCAAACCATTGAGTTTAACAAAATTGACTTAAAAATATTTTTTTAAGAAAATTAAATGCTCTACAAAAAAAGTTAAAGTGAAATTTTTCGTCAGATGAACCGTTTCCTTAAAATCATGTCTTAAAAATTGGTATAGTTTTACATTTTGATCTTTTAACTTTGGAATTTTGTAATTCATGTAAAAAGCAGTACCCATAAAAAACCGATAAATATTCTTATGGGAAATCAAATTCTTTACAAAAAAGTCTCTTAACATTTTTGGCTAAATTCACTCAATCAAAAGTTATTCAAGGTTAAAATTTTGTTTTGACTTCAAATTTAACCTTGAATAACTTTGGATGGAGAGAATTTAGCCAAAAATGATAAAAGACTTTTTTGTAGAGCATTTGATTTCCCATAAGAATATTTATCGTTCTTTTTTTTCGGGTACTGATTTTTACATGAATTACAAAATTCCAAAGTTAAAAGATCAAATTGTAAAACTATACCAATTTTTAAGGCATGATTGTAAGAAAAGGGTTCATCTGACGGGAAATTCCAATCAAACCTTTTTTGTAGAGCATTCAATTTTCTTCAAAAAATATTCTTAAGTCAATTTGGGAGTTCTGAGACAAAAACTAGCTCAGGAAAAAAATCTAAAATTGCGATGATAGACCTCTTTATATTAATATTATGGACTCAAACATTCACCATTATTTTTTTGTCGCCCCAAACAATATTTACGATATACTTTCAAAAAAAAAAAAGTCGATTTTTTTGGCCCAGTCTAATAATCATATATGGTAAGATTAAAATTAATTTAATTTTTTTTTGTATGTGAGACCAGGTGTTGCTTTTATTAAACGTGAATAAACAACAACAACATAAATAAAACCAATAACTGAGTGTGGCCATTTTACCTTATTACATACAAATTCTTGTTAATTATATGTATTTTCTTCGGGTGACGTTCATAATATCGAAATTCACTTTATCGAATTCAAAATATCGAACACTTTTTATCGAAAATCAAAATATCGAAAATACAAAATGTCGAAAATCAAAATATCGAAAATTAAAATGTCGAAAATGATAATATCGAAATTTTATTTAATCGAATTTTCAATTTATCGAAAATAAAATATCGACGTTCATAATATCGAAATTCACTTTATCGAATTCAAAATATCGAACACTTTTTATCGAAAATCAAAATATCGAAAATACAAAATGTCGAAAATTAAAATGTCGAAAATACAAAATTATACAAATATTATTTTAATCCGAAGTGTATATGTACAGAGGCGCCTCTGATATAGAAATGTACTCAAACTCAACAACACAACCCAACCGACCCCGCCCCATTGGCCCCCCCCCGCCCCATTGAGCAAAAAACCCAACTAAAATGGGCTAATTTATGTAATTAAAAAGTGTTTTATTTTTATCGTAACATGAATTTGCCCATTTTAGTTGGGTTTTTTGCTCAATTGGGCGGGGGGGGGCCAATGGGGCGGGGTCGGTTGGGTTGTGTTGTTGAGTTTGAGTACATTTCTATAAAACGCGCATCTCTAGGAGCCAGGGAGCCAAGATAATTCGGTGCATAACCGTAACTTTATCTACAGAGGCGCCTCTGTACATATACACTTCGATTTTAATCATACATTTTAATTTTCGATATTTTTAAATCGATATTTTAATTTTCGAAATTTTAATTATTCGAAATTTTCAAATCGACATTTTAATTTTCGATATTATCATTTTCGACATTTTAATTTTCGAAATTTTAATTATTCGACATTTTCAAATCGACATTTTAATTTTCGATATTATCATTTTCGACATTTTAATTTTCGATATTTTGATTTTCGACATTTTGTATTTTCGATATTTTGATTTTCGATAAAAAGTGTTCGATATTTTGAATTCGATATAATGAATTTCGATATTGTGAACGTCACCCATTTTCTTCTTATGGGTTAATAAATGTATTTAATATTATTATTATTATTATTACAGTGTCCGGACAAACCGAACGTGACGAACAACATAATGTGTTCGAGTTGCGGAGCGGCCGGTCACATCGCGCGCGATTGCCGGCAAAAGCGGCCGGGACTGGGTGGGCCGCCCATGCCCGGGGACAAGGCGAAAATCGACGAAGAGTATCTGTCCCTGATGGCGGAGCTGGGCGAAGGCCCGCCGCCCGAGCAGCAGCATCAGCCGAACGGCGGCGGCATGAACATGATGAAGAAAACGACGCCCAGCTTCAACATGTTCGAGCAACAGATGGCGCCGCGGCCGCTCATGCCTCCCATGATGCCGCAGACCAACATGACGGCGATGAACATGAACGGCATGGCGCCGCCGCCGTGGAACGGCGCCCAAGCCATGCCTTGGCAACCGGGACCGCCTGGTAAGTAAACAAATTGCACAGTCTACCTACTATTTAATAAACCCAGTTGTACAAAATTACTACAACGATTTTACTTTTAACAATCAAAACTTATTCAATATTATAAAATACAGTGTGGAACTCACTTATGGAATAAAATTCGGTATTCGTTGAAAAAATATTTTTATGAAAAACGCTCGGACACGTAAACTTTAGTTTTTTATTCCAAATCTTATAATGATAATTTTAAATTTTATGCCCCCACCATTTTCCCCCCCGCACATTAGGCACCCTTATCTTAAATAACAACCCCACTTTTTTTCATCGAAAATTTATAGTGCACATTTTTTTGAGTACGACGATACTACATAAGTAGGGTTTAGTGACCATAATTTTCAATACAGGGTGAATATTTAAAAATTACAAGTATGAATTTTTTATTGTTATTCTATGATTTAGTTTCTTGTGTTGTGGCTTTCGCTATTTAGATATGCCATTTTTTGCGTTTGTCCTTTTTGCATTGTTTACATTTTTTGCATTGTTTAAATTTTTATTATTAATGAAACATTTTGCGCTTTACTTATTGAAGTATTTTGTTAGATCCAAGTATCAGTTAATATTTTAGTTAAAAAATGCGACACTTGACAGAAACTCTGCGAATAGAAATATTAATGATGATTGGATACGGTGATATGTGCAGATCACAACAGCAAGTTGCAAACCTTTTTAATGGAAAATACCCAGATTTACCACCACTTTCTCAGGCAACTGTGTCACGTTAAACCATTACGCAGGACGCCTCATTTTATTGATGAAAATGTGAAAGTTAATATTTTATTAGCTTTTCAAGAAGATCCAACAACTTCTACGCGTCAGGTTGCACGTGAAAACGACGTTAGTCATTCGACCGTTTTAAGATGTGTAAAAGCCGAAAAAATGCATGGATGGATCCATAAAAACTACAACACGTACAAGAATTGATAGAAGATTACAATTTTGCGAGCAAATGCTGCATATGTTAAACAGGAATGTTATTTCTTCTGGAGATATTCTTTTTTCTGATGAATCAACATTTCTATTAAATGGCGAGTAAATAGACAAAATTGCAGGTACTGTGCAAAAGAAAATCCCCACTGGATGCGACAAAGTCATTCCCAACGTCCTCAGAAAATCAACGTTTGGGCTGGTATTGTGGTGGGCAAGATATCTGGATATGCTAAGAGAACAAGTTGTCCCAACTTTAGCAGAGTTGTTTCCAAATCCATTGGAACCTAATCTTCCCAAATGAAAGGATATGGCTTCAACAAGACGGTGCCCCACCCCACTATGCTCTTCCTGTACGGAATTATTTAAATGACACCTTTCCACCCAGTTGGATCGGAATAAGAGGTTTTATAGAATGGCCAGCAAGATCACCGGATCTAACACCTCTAGACTTTTTTCTATGGGGATATCTAAAAAACAGGGTGTTTAAAACACAACCTGCTAATTTAGATGAATTAAGAAACAGAATTACTGGAGAAATTAGGAACATAACACCGGAGATTTTAAAAAGAGTGCGGGAACAATTTCACAGTAGATTACTAAAGTGTCAGGAAGTGGACAGGGGACATTTTGAACATTTATAAGATTGAAGAACAGTTTATTTTTGAATTTTTAATTAATTTTAAAATAAAAAGTTATTATATTTTCACCCTGTATTGAAAATTATGGTTACTAAACCCTACTTATATGGTATCGTCATACTCAAAAAAATGTGCACTATAAATTTTCGATGAAAAAAAGTGGGGTTGTTATTTAAGATAAGGGTGCCTAATGTGCGGGGGGGAAATGGTGGGGGCATAAAATTTAAAATTATCATTATAAGATTTGGAATACAAAACTAAAGTTTACGTGTCCGAACGTTTTTCATAAAAATCTTTTCTCAACGAATAACGAATTTTATTCCATAGGTGAGTTCCACACTGTATATATTTAGAGCCCAGATTATATGCAACATTTTTTAGCTTGAAATACGCTTAAAATTTAAAATTTGAAACTCTTGAGCACGAAATATTTTTGTCGTTAACTCGACATTATAAAACTTTTTTGTTCTATCTAAATGTTCTAGGATAGTCAGTTATCCACAAATTGGCCAAAAACATTAAAACGTAGATGGGATTTTAGGTTGCTAAATTTATAAAAATACGTACAGTGCTTTTTTTATTAAGTTGGTAGCTTATGCCAGTTTGATTTAGTATTTAAAAAATGGTACTTCTGCTAAAGACCTTAATTAAATACTCTGACACTGTCAAATTGACAGTAATATTTATTATTGATAATTTACTTGTTAATTACACTGTAGGTACATTTTTAACTTTTAAAATATCACAGCTAAACGCTCGGACACGTTAACATAATTTTTGGTCGTAGATTCCAAATCCGTGCTGTATCAGGTCTAAAAAAGTTTTTCCTATTGGAAATCCGATCCGGGGACACACTGTATACTGGTAAATTATAATTTGTAAAATAATATCATTCACCTCTTGTGCCAACAGTTTTATGCTTTTTATTTCACTTAATATAATATACTCAAATATACTCAAAAAAAAATCAGCAAAAAACATTTCAAATTTCCTAAATTATCTATGAAAAGGGACACGTGTATCTTTTGATCAATTAACTTATTTTTTTAATTTGGAACTAATGTGTGGGTCCCCCAAATGTAATTTAAAAAAAAATTATACAGGGTGTTTCCAATATCTTTGAATTTTGACCTGATACAGCTAAACCAAGCACGGATTTGTAATCTATGTCCAAAAATTAAGTTTACGTGTCCGAGCGTTTAGCTGTGATATTTTCACCTCCCTACAGTGTTATTATATAATAGCCAAATAAAAAGATAACTACCAAAAATAATTAGATCCTAAAGTAAAATAACTTTTGTATAAATTTTCGTAAAACTCAAAAATTAAATTGAAATTTTTCGAATTATTCATCAAAAACTGTTAAAATTAGTATGCATTGAAGTTTGACGATGAATATCTTTTAAACGCTTAATTTAATCGATAAATCATAAGAGACCATTTTTGTAGAGCAGTTAATTTCCTACAAAACCATAAGTTGCGCGATTCATAAAAAAAAATTGTAAGCGAGTTATAAAATTCATAAGCAAAACAGAAATTTCTCTTAAAAAAAAAACTTTAACCTTCGATATCTTTTTAACGGTGAGGTTTACGAAAAAATTGTAAGAGACCTTTTTTGTAGAGCGTTCGATTTCCTACAAAAATATGAGGAGAGTTATTTTTTAACGAACAGTTGTCGAAGAGATATAAATTTTTGTTTCTAATACTGAGGAAAAAATGGAAAATTGTAAAGCGGAGGACCTTGTTATCAAAATTAAGAGCTCATGTTTGGTGAGAATTCTCTAGAGGTGTCTAGTAACCGATTTTTCAGAGTACAAAGTAAAAAAAAAAATAGTCGGTTTTTTTGACCCACCCTAATATATATATATAAATACAAAAAAGTTACGAAATGCACCTTTTTCTCTAGCTTTTCTGGCTTGAATCCATGGACTTTATATGGACTACGAGGGCAAGGTGAAAAATTTTCGGCCTAGTAAAGAAAGACGGTGCTTTTTTGCTCAAAAATGCATTTATTTTTCTACATAGTCTCCATTTAGTTCAACGCACTTTGTCCAACGTTTTTCCAATAAGTGGATTCTATCCCTGAAGTGGAAGGTCTGCAAAATACGCATCTACGGCTGCCATCACCTCTTCATTTAATGCAAAACGCTTTCCAGTCACAAATTTTTTCAGATTTGGGAACAGGTGGAAGTCAGAGGGAGCCAAATCTGGTGAATATGGTGCATGTTCCAATAATTCGTACTTCAGATCCCTCAGTTTTCCCATTGCCAAAGCACCTTTGTGAACAGGTGCATTGTCTTGCGTAGTATTCGCCATTTATTGTTTTTCCTTTTTTAAGATAATCAATCAAAATAATCCCTTTTGCATCCCAGAAAACACTGGCCATGACCTTTCCGGCAGACAAAATCGACTTTGCCTTTTTTGGTGCAGAGCCACCCGCTGCCACCCATTGCTTCGATTTCTGTTTGGTTTCTGGGGTGTAGTGGTGAACCCACGTCTCATCCATAGTAACAAATCGGCGCATAAAATCGGTTGGATTCTTTTTAAAACGGTCCAAACATTTTTGAGAAATTTGTTTTCGCATGAGTTTTTGGTCAGTGGTTAACAAGTGCGGCACCCACCTTGCACAAAGTTTTTTCGTACTAAATTCCTGATGTAAAATGTACCGTACCCGTTCTTCTGAAATGCCTATGGCCCCAGCTATCTCATACACCTTTAATCGCCGATCGTCCAATACCATAGTGTGTACCTTTTCGATGTTTTCTGTGGTTGCACTTTTTGGTCGTCCTTCACGTGGATCATCTTCAAGTGATGTACGACCACGTTTAAATTCAGCAGCCCATTTCTTCACTGTCGAAAATGAAGGGGCAGACTCCTTATAAACCTTTAACAACTTTTCATGAATTTCCGTTGGCGATAAACCGTCCAAAACAAAAATTTTTATGACGGCACGATACTCCAGTTTATTCATTTCAACGAAACGCACACAATGTGTTTACTTGAAACAGCCGTAAAAAAAAGCTGTCGGCCGATCACCTTGAAACTTGGTGTGTGTATTTGTAACATATGTAGCAATATTCCTGCAAATAAATACATCGATAGCACTGCCCTCTCTTTGTGAAGCCGAGAACTTATCACCTCGCCCTCGTATATTTATAGTCAATAAGAGATCAAAAAAGTGAACAAATTTTGTATGAATGTTAATAATGTTTTAATAGGGATAATGCCGCCGCCTCCTCCGCCAGGAGCGTCGAGCCCGCCACAAATGATGCCTTGGATGACGCCCCAACAGCCGCCACCACCAGGTTCAGGCGGCATGCCGACTGCGCCATGGCAGGGCCCGCCTTTCGGTTGGCCGCCAAGCAATTGTCCGCCTCCTCCGCCCCCAGGAATCGACGTAAACTTGCTTACTGCGCCACCACCACCGCCACCCTCTTAGGATTTACAAAACGTTTTAATAAATTTAGGCAAATTGGTTATTGGAACCTCTTATTTATAATCACTATAAAAGTTAGTTTATAGATTTTACTGAATTATTTGTCATTATGGTACTCAATAATTGTCTTTAATATTATGTTATAATAAATGTACTTGGTTTTAAGACAAAACATGTTTTATTTTATCAATTCAAAAATTATACTGCAATTTCCAAAACTAAGAGAAAAATTATTTTTGAAGTAAATAGAAAGACCATCAGATATTTAAAAAAAATCGCCATTGTACTTACAAAGGATGTGTGAAGATCTTGTTTGGTACAAGTTTAGTGGGAGACATATGAAGTCTTGGGTTTGATGAAAAACAATTTCTATTACAAAATAATACGAAACATATTATATTGCAAATCCAAGTCTGGAGCCAGCTTAAATATTCTTAAGGGAAATTCATAATATCACATGGTTTCACAAATTAAATTATTTAATTTAAATTGTAGGTATTGCAAAGTGTGTTTAAAGCCTAAAAGTCATGTTTTGTATACAATTATAAACAGGGTGTTACTTTAAGTATGTGCAATAAATTAAAGATAGGATTCTTTGAGTGATTTTAAGACAAAAAGGTCAGAAACTTTTTTTTTATGTTTTTTTCGTAAATATCTTAAATACTCTGTACCCAATTTTGTTGTTATTTGGCAGTGTTAGTTGTAGTGTTAAGGAGCTAATTTAGCTCTAACTTGATTACATTTATTGTCCAGTGGCGTCCCGAGCGGCACCTTAAGTCACATACTTTTTTGTTATTTTTATATTTTTTTCGAATTGAGCAATTAAAAATGCATCTTAATTTTGTTTGTATCATGTTTAGTTTTCGACAGTCACGTCCCAGTATTTGACTGAGCCAGACGTATCGTAGCAGCGTGAGCTCTTAAAACGTACGTATAACGTAAAAACCATATCCAACAAATAATCTCTCATAAAGTGCAAACAAATTATGGTGTAACAACTACAGTGAGTACAGACCAATCTACGGTCAAGAAGGAGTTAAGTGCTAAGTAATAAGGAAGAGTTAAGCGACAAGTGCAAACTAATATAGTGAAATGGTCAAAAGAGTTAAGTGTTAGTGACAAGAAAGAGTTAAGTGACAAGTGTCAGCTTCTGAGCGGTCGCACCATCTGTCAACAGGACGATTTCACTGGCCAAACAAAAGAGTTCAAACAAGGGGGGAATAGGTCATCTGCATGACCTAACACATAATTTGCAAAATTAAACAAGACAAGGCACATTGCCTAATCCCTACAAAAAACCAATAAACATCGGTAACAATAAAAACATTAGAATGATGATTAGGGTGGTCCAGAAACGAATTAAAAAAGTGAAGTTGTAAATAGACTTATTCTCACCCTCTAATTTTTTTATATAAAGTAAAAAAAGTTATTTTAGAAAATTTGAACCCTCTAGCTTAATTAGAAGGGAGTGCTCACAGCTATGATAGAATGAATCTGAAGACAATATATCCACATGAAAATCATGGTCCAGAACTCTTAGTAGCATAAATTGCAGCTTTTTTTGTGGTTTCTGTCGGAACAGATTTCCGATTCGCTTCTACGATTTGTAACAAGTCTTGCTTTTCGTCCTCATTTTTTATAATTGATTATGCTCTTCAAATAGTTTTACCCATCTTTCCGCTATATCATTTACAACTCGAAGTTTACAACACACAGTCGACCTTGAAAAAATATAAGTAAGAAATAATTTATTGCCTAGACAAAGGCCATATTAATATTATGATTATTATTATTATTATTATTGGTATTAATATTATTACGAGTTCATTGGATAAGTACCAAAGATCAGAGTATCTCTAGCAACCTCGCTTTTCCCAATCTCCTCATAGCGTTCTAAATCTTTGCAAAAAGTTAGGTCGGACATAGTAGCTTTAGTGGCACACAGTGCCTTGATCCAGATTTCACCAAAACGACCAAAGCCAACTCGATCAGTTCCAAGTAGTCGTCATAACGTTGAGACGTTTGTTTCAATGCAGCTAGCAACAAGGGGATTGTGGAGTTTTTGTAAAATTCAAAATTCTTCGACGATTCTAGGTCTGAGGACTTGAAGCAGATACGATCAATAGGTACCCAAATTATTTTAAATCGATTAAAAATTGGAATATCCGGAAAGCAGCACAACTTGAAAACCTTACTAAGAATTATTTCCAAAACATGATGACTGCAGACTAACCAAAGTAAGTAGCTCCCAATTTTTTCTCAAGCAAAACGTAGCATCCATTCTTCATTCCAGTATTTACAGATGTTGTGTCAAAACACATTGCTTATACTTTATCCACCAGATTCCATTCTCGAAGTACGTTTCCGACTTCATTTGCTGTACTCCTAATAACTTTTCTATTCCATCTGCTGAAACTACTACTGGTAAACGTTCTACTTTAGTTAAGCAGTGGTAATCAGGAAGAATTTTACCATCCCAATGAACAAAAACTAAACCTTGACAAGAAAAACTTTCTTTCATATCTTTTCTTCCTTTCATGTTTTCGTCTCCGGCAAATAGTGCTGCAAGAAGGCATTTCGGATCTTTACCCAGTGCTATCGCAATCTGTACTATAAGCCTTAGAACTTCACGGTCTGAGACATTTTCCCTATCCAAAGCACTTATGACATTTCACAGCAAACGGAAAATTATAGAGGTGTATAGGATGACGCCACGTTTGAATATCGATTTCTAAATCTCCCTACGGTATAGAGTTGTATTCGTCAGTCGAGCGTTTCGATACTCTCCACAGTATAGAGGTCGTAATTTTACTTTTGAACTAGTATTAATATAAAAATTATTTTATGCTTAAAAAAAACTATATACGACATGATTGTGATTTTTTTCATTTTATTAATTAATTAAGCTGTGTTGAATATTTTTCCTAAAGGAATAATTGCCAATGGGCCATTAATTCATTTGTTCGTAGATGCTACAATAACCTGCACTGGTGTGTACTTTTTCATCAACCAGATTTAAATAATACAAAATTAACATATATCAGTGGAGATAGTGCAGGGTCTACCAACAGACCTAATTACTAAATTATTAAAGTTTAATAGCATATCGATCATTTTTCAACATAACCTCTTAAATTTTTAATACAAATATAGGTACTTTATATAATACATAAATATACTTAACATCATATCCTCTGTGCTTTACATACCTGAGTTGTTACGGTAAATAAAAATCAGACAAAGGAACCAAAGAAAGGAACTATTTTCAACAAAATCATATGGAGAAATGAGAAAATTCATCCATCAAAAGATCAAAACTTCTTGCAATATTACACCCTCTTTTTATACTCTCAGAAATATTGACTAGAACAGTATTAGAGAGACTCCAGTTTCTATAACTTGGTAGAGTAAAGAGAAGTCGAAACCGTTGCGATATTGCATTGCGCTGTTTTTGTATAATTCTCGGGGACATTAACGAAAATCATTGCCAGTAAAATTCGAAAAGCTTGAGTTTCTACGTCTCTGAGGAGAATAGGAATCCGAAGTTGCTGCACCATTGGACTGAACCCTTTTTTAATAATTTCTAGAGACATATATGACTGCACCATTCGACAGGGTCGAGTTTCTACTCCTCTGTTGAATATAGAAAATCAAAATAATGTATCTTGTAAGACACCATTGAGTTTGACTTTAAATATAGTCGTGCATAGGTATAGAGCCGAAAAATATAAAAACAAAGCACGATTCAATACAGTTATGATAAAACTTTAAGATTTGATATTCAAACGCGGAGTCATCCTATACACTTCTATAAAAATATAGAACTGTATAGGATGACTCCGCGTTTGAATATTAAATCTTAAAGTTTTATCAGAACTGTATTGAATCGTGCTTTGTTTTTATATTTTTCGGCTCTATACCTATGCACGACTATATTTAAAGTCAAACTCAATGGTGTCTTACAAGATAAATTATTTTGATTTTCTATATTCAACAGAGAGGTAGAAACTCGACCCTGTCGAATGGTGCAGTCATTTATATTTCTAGAAATTATTAAAAAAGGGTTCAGTCCAATGGTGCAGCAACTTCGGATTCCTATTCTCTTCAGAGACATAGAAACTCAAGCTTTTCGAATTTTACTGGCAATGATTTTCGTTAATGTCCCCGAGAATTATACAAAAACAGCGCAATTTCGCATTAATGCAATATTGCAACGGTTTCGACTTCTCTTTACTCTACCAAGTTATAGAAACTGGAGTCTCTCTAATACTGTTCTAGTCAATATTTCTGAGAGTATAAAAAGAGGGTGTAATATTGCAAGAAGTTTTGATCTTTTGATGGATGCAAGTAGTTTGAATTTTCTCATTTCTGTATATGATTTTGTTGAAAATAGTTCCTTTCTTTGGTTCCTTTGTCTGATTTTTATTTACCGTAACAACTCAGGTATGTAAAGCACAGAGGATATGATGTTAAGTATATTTATGTAATATATAAAGTACCTATATTTGTATTAAAAATTTCAGAGGTTATGTTGAAAAAATGCTATTAAACTTTAATAATTTAGTAATGAGGTCTGTTGGTAGACCCTGCACTATCTCCACTGGTATATGTTAGTACAGCAATATTTAAATCTGGTTGATGAAAAAGTACACACCAGTGCAGGTTATTGTAGCATCTACGAACAAATGAATTAATGGCCCATTGGCAATTAATATTTAATAGAATTAATAATTAATAGAATGAAAAAAATCACAATCATGTCGTATATAGTTTTTTTTAAGCATAAAATAATTTTTATATTAATACTAGTATTAATATAAAAATTATTAGCTATAGCTAGTTAAAAAGTGAAATTACGACCTCTATACTGTGGAGAGTATTGAAACGCTCGACTGACGAATACAAATCTATACCGTGGGGAGATTTAGAAAACTATATTCAAACGTGGCGTCATCCTATACACTTCTATAATTTTCCGTTTGCTGTGTAGGATCGCTACGCGAAACTGAAACAACAGCAGAGACTAGACAAAGACTAAACAATCACTTACGTAACGTAATAACCTCGGAACGTACAGACCCTACATCGAGGACGCAAGGCTGGAAAGACAAAATATACATCCCACTCGCGTCATGGGAATCCGAACTCGCACAAATCGCCCCAGTAAATT